GGAAATCTTATTCGAGACATGTTCAGATAACTATTCGTTTCCATATCAAGAAAGGACTATGAAAGTATACATGCCCAATATATATTTGAGGTGAAAGGACTGACACATGGAGAAAGTAATTTGATTATGGATTACGAGCCCATGCTACTATCTATAGGATCAAAAGACAACTAGTTCTCTCATTATTGGTGTTCAATCAGATATATGAATTCATAACACCATTGAAAATAACTTCTAATCCTTTGAGTATTTTACTAAGGATTAAGTACGTACATTTTCAACAATGTGAAGTGACTAAAATGAAGTATGGAGACTAAAACATGGAGAATATAAATTGATCCTGAGTGTCATGCCCTTGCTACTATTCATAGGATCAAAAGACAACTCTTTTCCCAAATGTTTAGTCTATGGTCTTATAATTGAAATTGTTTATACTTTGTTTCATGTGATCGTTCTAACTTATTTAAATATAGAGAATTCTAACATGTTTAAAGAAAGACATGAAATCTATGCAACTAGTATAGTAGCAATAGTTCAAAGTTGATTAAAATATTTGAATAAGTTGTATTATTGTGGTGCAAATATCTGTTGAAATTAGTTTACCTAACAAATCATTCATATTGACTATATACATACTGATTCAAATACATCCAAAAGTTCTAGGTGAAATGTATTTGTTGAATCATAGTCTTGGATACATAAATGAGAAGTTCATTACCAGGTATCCAGTTGGATCGAATTTTGGATATCATTTGACCTTGGTTCTTACGATAAATGAAAATATTGTTTATCAAGATAGATGATGAATACATCATTGGGTGATGAGAATATATGTTGCAATTAGTTTGCACTAATGGACCGTTCAGATTAACCAAGATACATGGTAAGACCAACTTCGCATGAACGTGGGTCTAAAACCTTTTTGGTGTTCAAAACTCTCACAAACCGAAGCTAAGAATCAACTGGGCAATAAGATGAGATAGGATAGTGAGCATCTTAGTCCAAACCTTATTGATCATCTAAGTAATTATGAAAGAGTTTCATGAGTTATCTCCACTTAGAACACTACCACTAGGAGTTTTATTTGGATAAGGATACAAATCATTTATTGATTTCACACTAGATGAGTCACATTATGCTTACTAATAATTTGTGGACTATACCATGAATAGTGTTATGAGAAGTCCTTTGGTCTTGTACCAACTAAGTAGGTTCATGAAACACTCTATGAGATATGAAGTGGAATTCACTCCTCGCATGCACATATGTAAGTTTACGATTATGAGTTTTACCCTTGTCGTGAAGCACTCGACAATCTAGAACATAGAATAGAGATGTGTTATCTTATTAGAGAACCGATCAAGCATTTTGGATAATTGTTTAACAAACCTTCTAAGAACAAAGTGTATGTTACTCGAAGGGCAGTCTTCCAAAAGAGGGAGCTGGTATCCAAAAGGGCTAGTGGGAGCTATATTGATCCTGATAAGATTCAAGAGTCAACCAACTGACAGATTTCCACTTTTTCCTTATAGATCTGATAGAGGAAGTGTTACACCTAGTTATATAAGTGTTTATATTACTGAGGTATATGAATCACTGGTAGATAACAATCAGAGTTACCAGCTATCCGAAGCTATGGTAGGCCCTAAAGGCTACAAAATGGAAGGAAGACATGGAAAGCGATATTCAGTCCATGTGTGTCGAAACCTGGTAGATCAAGCACTTGGCCTTAACCATTAGGTGTAGTGGATCTTGAAGAGGAGACGAGCATGGATAGGAACATACAGATAATCAAACCAATATAGGTTGTGAAGGATGTGTAAGCTTGATAAGTTCATTTATGGACCGAAATAAGCATCTCGCAAGTGGGATCTTTGTTTCAATGAGAAAGTTTAGAGAGTTTGAATTTTGAGAAATAAAGATGATCCATACGTATGTCAAAGCGAGTGGGGGTAACTGGAATCTTTTTTTTAATGAGAAAGTTCAAGGAGTTTGAATTCGAGAAACATAGATGAGCCCTATATATGTCAATGCTAGCGGGAGCATTGTAGTCACCCGTGTGTTGTGCATAGATAATGTACAATTCATAGGAAACTGTATTCTAGCTTAGCAAGTGTAAAAGCTTGGTTTGGTATGAAAATTTCTTTGCTATGATATACATGGGAGATACAAAACATGTACATTATATAAGGATCAATGGAGATAAATCAAACTGATTCACTGGATTAAGCCAAAGTACATGGACTCTTGAGGAAACTCAACAAGCAGAACTTGGAAAGGTTCATGCTTAATAAATATGGCATGACACTGAGCAATGCTAATGTCCTAGTTCTACTATTGAACTAGAGGTTATGATCTGTGTCCTACATGCTTCTGCTATGGGATCGATCATATATTGCATGACATGTACCAGATCTGATGACTTGTATGCCTTGAGCATGACAAGTTGGATCAGATCAATTTGGCAAGAATCAACGAATCAAGATCAAGAACATTCTTAAGTGTCCTAGGAGGACAGAGGAAAGGATTTTGATGGTATGGAAGAGATCATTGTGAAGATTACATTGATGCTAAGTTCTATACTGATAAAGACGATTTTGTTCACAGTCGGAATTCGTGCTTTTACTGAATGGTGAAGTATTGGCTTAGAAGAGTACCAAGTAATACACCATAGTGGATTTGACAAACTTACAGTACATTGCAATTTGTTAAATTGCAAATAAGACAATGTGACTAAAAGAGATTCACTAGTGACATCCTTGTTGAAATTCAATCATTGATGGGCCTTTTGGAGGCTCTTGTGACTATAAGGGTGAACTTACCTCGAGTATGGATCCCAAGTCACACAAGCTCACAAGACACATACTCAGTAAGTACCAACACATTTGATAGTGAGTCAAATGTAAAGACATCATAGTCAATAAGCCATATCGAAATATAATCTTGTCGATCCATTACCTAAGCCAATGTCACTAACCAAGTCTAACGTTCATACAAAGTTGAGAGGCATTAGATTTGCAAATGAATTGGCTTAAACACTCTTAGTTTAGCTTGTTTTAAACCTGAGAACTCAAGCAGTATAAGTGTTAAATTGATTTGGCGCTTATTAAATGGACATCTTAATATATGATGGAGATCAGTCATTTCAATTAACTTATCACTGTGTTCTCCTTTTGCATGTTTGGAAACCACTTCCCGAGTATTAATTTACTCAAACGTCCACAATTGTCCATACTCTTGGAAGTAAGTAGTGATTTAAGATTATCATGAGCATTGGTGGATTGATCATAGTGATTGGGCATAACATAGAGATTACGCTAACACTCATGAGTACTTAATAGAGATTTAAGTATTGGACCAACCCACGCTTAGAGATTACTTCATGTATATAGTCGCGAGTAATTCTAAGATGATAATATCTTATATTCTTCAAACCTAGATATATGTGGGTTTTTTCTCTATGATTTTGTTATGCATTGGTTTACTCCAACGTTATCTATAGCGGGTAATTATAAAGGGTATGTCCATGTGTGACATGATGAAGTAAACAAAACTTTGTAGTCGAAATTTATTTGTTCCTTCTGCCTTAATAGGAGAAGCGATATGTATGGGCCCCTCGATGATTTGGTGATGACATCTAAAGTGCTTGGTCGAGCCCTAACTGAAATTGATGTGTTCAATTTAGTAGTCAGATGTAGTCGTCATAAGTCTGTATCGGGAAACATAATCTTGAATTCTGAGATTGACCATTATCCATGTCTCGATTTCATACAGATATCTAGAACAAAGAGATAGTTGATCACTTATCTAAGGGCTGACTCTTGATTAGATCAAGAGTTTGGTAGTTGCATTGGATGGCTAACTCTTTGTTGATTATTGGAGAAGTATTGGTCCTCATATAGTTGATGACTTATCCAAGTGGGAGACTGTTGGAAATAGTGTCAAAGGTTATTAACTATTGGTAATATTTCTAATAATAGTATGGTCCTTTTGGGTTGCCCTCAAGACCCAAATTGAGTAGAATAAATAAATAAGAAATTGGTTTTTTAATTATTATGATTAATAATTACTTAGAAACTAATTGGAAATATATTTTGGGAATTAATTAACAGTTTAATTAATTAAAGGATCGAATATTTAATTAATCAATAGTTGGTTGATCATGAATATTCTAGAACCCTTTTGGAATTAGGGTTGGATGAAAATCACTCCATCCCACATGGGAAAGGGAGTGAATTTCGTGGTTGTCTCCTTGTTCCACATGGGAATGAGTACAAAACCTAGAAAGGTATCCAAGACTATAAATAGGACCTTAGTGATTTCATTCTTCCTTGCACCTTAGCTTGAAGTTTCTCCAATTCCGGGAAAAAATGATTGAAGTTTTGCGGTTTAATTCGTTCTGATTCGACAGTTTTTGCGACTTTGAGAAATTTTTGGTTTAAAAATATTGTGATTATGAAATCAAATATTAGGAATTGGGCTCTTCATCATGTTTTGATTTTCTTTTGGAATCTGGATTTTCATTTGGTTTTTAACTTTAGCTTTGATTTTGATTTTGGGATCGAGATTTTCATCACGTTTTGATTTTCAACATTTTGACTTTGATTTTGTTCGGTGTTGATTACAGGCTAATTTTGATTTGAGTTTGTTTGGGTTTTGATTTGGTTTGAGATTCATTAGTTTCATCCTATGAAAATTGCATAATCAAACACCATTATTCGAAGTTGTCGGAGACGATGGTGGTTGTCTGATATGATAGTGGCAATGATGAACTGGACGGTGGTTTTTGGTGGTGGCGGAGCCATGGTGAGGAAAATGAGTTGTACGGTGGTTTCTAATCAAGAGAGAGAGAGAGAGAGAGAGAGAGAGTAGGACCTTTTGTAATTAAATAGAGAGGTGGGACCCTCTGTAATTAAATAATAGTAAGGTAAAAAAAAAGGAAAAAACAAATAAAAATGGACAAATCCGTCATTTGAAGAATTTAAAACACTTTTGACCAAACTCGCAACAAAATGAAACCTTTGAACCTCTTGTGCTTGTCCAATGACGATTGTGATTTACCTTTTTTGGTTTGTCGATTCCCCAAATTTCAAAGCTTCCTCGTCTGCCATCAAAATTAATAAAAGAATTCCAAATCAAAAACCATCTACAATAAGTCCTAATAGAAGAATCCATCACATGTAATCGACCTCCACTTACCCATGATATTGGTGAAGATTAATGTTAACCGCAAGTGGTGGGTGTAAAAAAATGAAACACGTTAATGAATAATGATGAAGAATCCATTACCTGTAATCATCATCTATTCAATATTCAGTGTGGACGACAAGAGCTTCAATCTTTAAAGGATCATATCTACATCTCATCAACAACAAAACATTCTTTGGTGGTATACAAATTCTCACTTTTGCTTCATCTTTTGTCCCCTCAATTCTATAAAAATCGTCTGCCTCTTTTCTTTCAGGTGGCAGGAAACATAACTAAAAATGGTTCTCGGACTACGATTGAGGGAATTTGATAGGGAGATTGGTGGGTCACGTCCACCAGCTCGATCTGAACTCAAGATCGATTTCCATGAGATCTTCATGGATGAAGAATGGTTTTAAGATGCAACGAATATGAAGAGGTCGTTGGTGGAAGAAATGGATAGTGTACGATAGCATGTAGGTGGTAGGTTAAGGGATTGTTAGATAGTAGGGTTGGAGATGGGATTGAGGGTAGGTGTCAATTTGTTGTTTTTTTTCAAATAAAATTATATAAAAGAAAAAAAAATGAAAATGATCACTAAGGATAAAATTATCATTTTACCAAACATACAATGAAACCATAGGAATCAACCATGCAAGATTTAAAAACCACATGATTACATTCATAAAAAACCATAAGGACCGTTTATGTAATTTTGTCATTGAACTATGAAAAAGGGTAAAAATTATGAGTAAGGGTAAAATTATCATTTTACCAAACATACAAGTTTCAAAATGGCAGAACCGACGATTCATGTAATTGTTATGAATGCGAAATCTCATTATCTTGTGCTTAAAACATAGATTAAAGAAAACACAATGATTTGGTGCATAGCCAGCCATATTAAGGACTATGCTTTATTGCAAATCCTACTTCCTAACTCCAAGAAATAAATAAACATGTAATAAATGATGAGCCCCTGTTTGCTGGATCTCTACCATGTCCTTTGGGCGAGACTTCTAAATGATCAAAAACCAAAGACACACTACACTCACACACTTGGTTTCATGGCTCTGCTTGCATTGACTCGCACTCTTCCCGGATTGACTGGAAAAGAACTGTGGATAGGTATCGCTCCCCAAAGCTAGGAAACACAACCTGCAACAATCATTTATTTACATAATTTAGAGATATGGTCAATGCTTCAAGTTTCATTACCAAAGTCTTGGGAGTTTCAATTCCGCTTCTTGTGCCAACCACCTGACTTTTAAACACCAGGTCGCTGTGGGTCAGCTCGGAAGTTGCTGGAAGAAAAACTTTTTTTTTTTTTTTTTTTTTGAAGAAACTAGTCGATTTTAAGCAACCATGTGCCTGTATATATGTGTGTTAAAAGTAAGGGTGTGAGATGCATACTGCAATAAGTTTTCCTGCATTCTCAGGTCTCTTTCCAACCTTGATGGCAGCAGCTGCTGCTGCTCCAGAAGATATGCCCACCTTCAAAAAAAAAAAAAAAAGTGTTAAGCCACACGACACGGACCATTCCACTAATTTAAAACCAAAATGAAATAAATACAAAATAAGAAAATCCACCAAAAACCCTTACCAACAAGCCCTCTTGGAGTGCCAATTGCTTTGCAGTCTCAACAGCTTCATCACTGGAAATCTGGAAAAGTTTGATAAAAGAAAGGGTTTTGTATCAACCGATCATACCTTACTTTTTGTACATTAGTGTAGTGTCCATAAAACGCATTAGCAACCACATGAAATGAATAGAAAGCTTTTTTGGAATTGGTTTGTTCAAGTTGTAAAGACTTGCATTCTTGTAAATGATCCAAAACATTTTCATATATAAACTATTAGAATGCTTATTTACGATTATACCATACTAATAGATAGCCATAGGGAAGAGAAACCAGACCTCTATTACTTCGTCAAGCACATCTTGATGCAAGTTCCTTGGTACAAAACCTGCCCCAATCCCTTGAATTTTGTGAGGGCCTGCAGTTATCACATAATAAAAGCTAGAAAAAAAAACACAAAACTTGGAATCACAAACTAAAGATTATCTTTAGGAATTACCAGGTTTTCCACCAGACAATATGTTACTCTCTGTAGGCTCCACGCCAATCACCTGATAAGTTTAATCTCATCAGGTAAAATATAAACCAACAGGATATATATATATATATATATATATATATATATATATATATATATATATATATATATTTGAATTTAAGAAAAAGTCATATAAACTGTTAAGCTACCTACCTTAACATCAGGATTTTGATTTTTGAGAAAGCGGCCAACCCCAGATATAGTTCCACCAGTTCCAATCCCTGCAACAAATATATCCACTTTCCCTTTGGTGTCTTCCCAGATTTCTGGGCCAGTTGTCTCAAAGTGTACCTGCACACAAGTTGTATGTTAATATGTAAATGTAAGACATACAAATAAATGATTTAACTAAAAAATTACTTACCTTTGGATTAGCAGGATTATCAAATTGTTGAAGCATGTAAGAATTGGGTGTGCTGTTGACTATTTCTTCAGCTTTCTGAACTGCTCCTTTCATGCCCTTTGAGGAGTCTGTGAGAACAAGATCCGCTCCAAATGCTTTTAGAAGAACCCTTCTCTCCAGACTCATTGATGCAGGCATTGTCAAGATCAGCTTATACCCTTTTGAAGCAGCTATAAATGCAAGCCCAATGCCTGTGTTCCCACTTGTAGGCTCAACCAATATACTCTGGAAACAATCCAAATTACTGTCTCAATTCATCTTCTCATTCTCAAAATTGTAACTTTTTTTTTTACCTTCCCTGGTGTTATAAGTCCTTTTTCTTCAGCATCTGTTATCATACTGTTTCCTATCCTGAAGCCAAAAAAAGTTAACAGGCCTTTCAGTACTAGAATACAATTTTATTAAGATAATGCTGAAATCTTTTAGATCGTATTACACTATTACAGAAGACATCATACAATTTAATTTGAAAAACAAATACATGTATGTCTAAAGTCTAAACACATTGCAGTTTAATCTATCTCTCACCTGTCTTTCACACTACAGCATGGCTCCATAATTTCAAGCTTGGCAGCAATATTAGCAACTGATCCCTTTGCAATGTCATTCAAGTACACCATTGGAGTCTTTCCAATAAGCTGCATTATCACAACACAAAAGAAATTAACAAGCCATTAGCTTAGAATGAGGATATATTTTTATTGTCCGAGAATGAAATTCCAAAAGCAGCCTTTAGAATTAAATCACCCCACACCTTAAATCCCAATTGCTGTTTCAGCGACTCTGAACAAGACTCTTTTAAAAGATGTAACTTGAATTAGATACTTCTAATGACTAACAAAGGCTCCATTTTATGTATTAGACTAAATTTTTATCAAGGATACATGATCCTCTTTCCATACATAATCTCTTGTATGAAGTTCTTCACTGAACCTAAAACGATATATTGCTTGCATAGTTTCAACACAAACTATACTTGGGGACGCACAACAGTAGGACAAAAACTATCCACTCCGATGCCAAATGTTTACTGATCAATTTCATTAGAGTACTAGCCAAGAGGTCACAGGATTGCGCTAATATCTATAAACACCATACCAATTTCATAAGGACTTTAACTCAATAAGGCAGTAGAGTAAGAATTGGTTAAAACCCTAAGCATTGACATCTCTATCATAGTTGACCAAATTCATTTCCAAAACCACTCTGATACACATGCTTCGTTCTACCACAAACGAATGTTGTTGGTTGGATAAGCTGTCATAAATACACAAAAACTTGACCAATCACATAGGTTATGAAGTTGTAGATCTCATTAATTTATTCAGAGACAAGTCTAAGCAGCAAATAAACAAAAAGACCAAAGGAAATGATGTAGTCATGGGGGAAATAGGCAAGAAATAAGCGCAAAGGAACCTGAGTAACATCGTCTGCGATGTTAAGACCTTCGACTTGAGTCTCTTGTGGTTTCACAGAAACAGCCTTACACACGATTGGGCTACATGGGAAGGAGGAGAAGGAGGGTTTCTTGAGACCAAGCGAAAAAGCAAGTGCAGGACGATTGAGGAAAGGGGCGTCTGGGTAAAAGTTGGACTTGGATTTGCAAAGAGGAAGGAAGTGCTTGTGGATCAAAGAAGCCATTGCTGGTGCCTCTCTCGATAAGCAGATACGAAATGAAGATATGAAGTGAAGAGGATCAGGCTTTCCTTTTATAACTTAACTGGGACCGATCCATTTGCTAGGTTTTCTCTACGGTTTAATCCATCTTATTAAAATAAAATAATAATAAATTCCACATAGATTTGTCAATGTTAACATGACAAATTGTATTTCGTGTTGCTATGAGGTTTTATAGTTTACAAAATTCATTTGACGGAAAATAACTTAACTCTTTCCAAGTTTATTAATGGAAAGAAAAGAAAGTGAAGGAAAATATGGAGAGAAAAGAAAAGAAGAGGAAGAAAATGATTAACTTATTCGTGTTCGCGTTCGAAAGAAATGCAAGGAAGATTTAAAAAAAAAACATGTTTCCGAGTTGGAAGGAAAATAAAATAAAATAAAGAAAAACAACAAGATTACAATTTTACTCTTATTTTTTTTAGCAATCACATTACATATATAGTTCTAATTGGAAAAGAATGTTGATCTGCATGTTATCTTCACATTTTGTATCTTCACATATTCTTTTACACACAAATAGGACCAATGGCAAAATAGTCCAGCAAGTACAAGGAAGAACAATCAATATTAGCAAACCATAAGCAGAGCCAATGGAAAAAAAATCCAAGAAACTTTAAGAAGGATTGAAAATGAAATCCAACAACACATTGTCTTATTATTACTGATTGGTACCGGTTGCTAGTGTTTAGAAAAAAAATGAAAAAATGAATGGTAGAAGTAGTCACAAAAAAAAGCAACAACCACAATTTAGAATATGTCAATTATCACATTGATGATACAAAATAGAACACATAATATTTTTTGGCTAGAAGTTTATTATTGATAGTTAGTTGTTTCAACCAATAGAAAATCTCAAAATTCATATATTGCAACAACAAATGAGAGGTAAAATGTAACACCTCAAACTTTAGATCAAATTTTTCATTTTTAATTTACTAAAAACAAGTTTCACAAACCAAGTTATCAAATACATAATTATCCAAAACAACCATTATCACAAAATATTAGAGTTTCTTAAATTGTCCCAGTAACAATCCTCCCAACGAGTGTGTACAATCAGACCTCCGTCTTCCTGTGGTCGTCAAAAGTACCTGAAACACATAAATCAATAACTATAAGCACGAAGCTTAGTGAGTTCCCCAAGATACTACATACAACACAACATAGATAACACAACTATGGGTTATCAGCAACCTCGGGGACTATCAACAGTCCCAGTGGGCAACAGCATGCCCTATGGGTTATCAGCAATCTTGGAGACAATCTACAGTCTCGGTCATACATAACACCATAATATAGAATAACAGTAGACCATGATGGTCATCACAAATACAATTATTGTACCACACATGTAAGAATAAGTGAGGAGACTCACCTGATACTGACGACAAGTAAATCTCAGACCCGAACTGTCGGAACTAGACTCCGCCTAATCAACGAAATAATTAACCCCAATTAATATTTAAGTTCCAAAGCTCAACTCATGAGTCCAAATCCCATAACTAAGTTCTCGAAGGGCAAAAAGACCATTTTGCCCTTCTCATGGTCCAAAACCCTAAATCTTGACCAAAAGTCAAAAGTCAACGAAAATCAACTGCCCAGCGCGTACGCTGGGCGTACACTTCCTTACGCGGGGTGTACAACGCGACCAGTGACCCATCGGGGACGGAACCGGCTATGCGGGGCGTAACCAGGAGTACGCTCGACGTACTCCGTCTGCTTTCACTCTCACCAACTTTTTGTCTTAATCCTTTAAGACAATTAACCCAACTTCAGATCTGACCATCCTAATGTGTCTTAATCCATAAAGTCGTTGACTTTAAGCCTTTGCATGGCTAGGAAGGACCCAATGCAACAAACTTTAACTTCCAACACACTCTAAGCTACTTTACTCATGCATGAGCCATAGGGAATGATCAAGCAACCATTTTTATGAATCTACAGGTCCTAAAATGCATGAAAGGACAACTAAAATTCCTTAGAGTTCTCCAAGCTCATAAAGGTCCAATCTTGGGGACAAAAAGCTCATAAAACTTCAACCATGTAGATCAAATAGAAAACTCATCAAGGTATAAACTTTATACCTGAAAAAGTTGCACAAATAGGAAAGGTTTCTGGATCTACAAGCTTGCAAGCAACCATTCATTCTTCTCTAGTCTCCTTCCTCAACAATATGCACTAAAAATCACTCAATAAGCTCCCAAAGCTCACACAAACAACTTCGAATTGAAGCTAGGGTTTGAAGAGGGAATGATGGTTGATAAAGATGATCCAAAAGGGATATAAGGTTTCTTAAATATGGAGCAACACTTAAAATTAGGGTTTGGAGTCTGGGCTAGTACACCCGGCATACCACACGTACGCCCAACGTACTAGCGGATCATCCGTGTTTCCATGTTGCACGAGTACGTTGCGCGTACCCTCAAGTACGCGCCGCGTATGACCAAAATGCAAGCCTTTTCCTCAAGGGACCAATTGTGCAACTTTTGATAAAGTTAAGAGCAATAATAATAATACATGATATTGGGATGTTACAATTCTCCCCCACTAGAATCAGACTTCGCCCTCGAAGTCATCCTCAGGAAACAGCTCAGGATAGTGCTCACACATCTCGAACTCGGGTTCCCACGTCCACTCCGAGCCTTTCCAGTGTTGCCACTGAACATTGACCAAGTTCACTACCTTGTTCCTCAAGGTCTTCACTTTCCGATCCATAATTTCCACAAGCTTCTTAACATAGTTCAGACAATCATCGATCTAAATGTCCTCTAAAGGGACCACAATTGTCTCGTCAGCTATACACTTCCTCAGTTGAGAAACATGGAAGGTATCATGAATCTGGATCAACTCCCTCGGTAGCTCCAACCGGTAAGCCACCTTGTCCACACGGGCCAAAACTTGGAAAGGGCTAATAAACCTGGGGCCCAGCTTGCCCCACTTCCTGAAGCGGATAACACCCTTCCAGGGTGACACCTTCAGAAGCACTAAATCCCCCCTGAAACTCTAGCTCAGAGCGTCATCGATCCACATAACTCTTTTGGCGGCTCTAAGCCGTCAACAATCTCTGTCTAACCTGTTGTATAAGCTCGGTCGTCTTGAGCACTACATCCGTGCTCCCCATGACCCTGTGTCCAACCTCACCCCAATAGATAGGAGTCCGACATCTCCTTCCATACAGAAGCTCAAAGGGGGGGCATACCGATATTGGCATGATGGTTGTTGTTATAAGAAAACTCAGCCAACGGGAGATAGGAGTCCCAACTCCCACCAAAGTTAATGATACAGGCAAGCAGCATATCCTCGGGCGTGTGAATAGTCTGCTCCCTCTGCCCGTCAGTCTGCAGATGATATGCAGTACTGAAGTGTATCCGGGTACGCAACTCCTTGTGAAACCACTTCCAGAACATGGAAGTAAAATGCACATCCTGGTCCGACACAATAGAAGTCGGCACCCCATGCTGAGCCACCACCTCTTGAACATAAATATCGGCAAGCTTCTCTACAGAAGAGCTCTCGCTAATGGCTAATAAGTGAGCACTCGTCGTCAAACGATCTACTATCACCCAGATAGCGTCAACACCCCCCGCAGTCTTCGGCAACTTCGTAATAAAATCCATGGTGATCTGCTCCCACTTCCATAGGGGAACCTCTAGAGGCTGCAACTTGCCATGAGGGTGCTGGTGCTCGGCCTTGACCTTCAGGTAGGTCAAACATCGCTCTACAAACCAGGCTACATCTCTCTTCATACATGGCCACCAGTAACTATGCTTCAGGTCGAGATACATCTTGGTAGCCCCTAGATGAATGTAAAATCTCGACTTGTGGGCCTCCTCCATCAAAATCAGTCAGGCCCCATCCGCATACGGTACCCATACCCGCCCATTAAGAGTCAAAAGCCCTCGGCTGTCGATATCAAAAGTTGAAATCTGGCAGATCACCCGCTCACTTTTCTGATTTTCTTCTTTTATGGCCTCCGACAGCGCTCCTTTGATAATCTCTATAATTGGGGTCATCACAGTCATCCTCATGCACATATCCCAAATCGGGGCACTCACCGCCCTCCGCCTCAAGGCGTCAGCCACCATATTGGCCTTGCCCGGGTGATACAGAATCCCACAGTCATAGTCTTTCACTACATCCAACCACCTCCTTTGCCTCATATTCAGGTTAGGATGATCGATAAGATATATCAGGCTCTTATGGTCCGTGTAGATGGTACGCCGAACACCATAGGGATAGTTGTGCCAAATCTTGAGGGCGAAAACCACCGCCCCTAACTCTAAATCATTCGTAGGATACTTCGCTTCGTGAGGCTTCAGCTGCCTCAAAACGTATGCAATCACATGCCCCCTATGCATCAACACAACACCCAACCCTGCAATGGATGCATCACAGTAGACTACGAAGTCCTCAACTCCCTCAGGGAGGGCAAGTACCTGCACCTTACACAGTCTCTGGCGTAGAGTCTCAAATGATGCATGTTGCTCAGGCCCCCATTTAAACACAACATCTTTTCTCTTCAACCTGGTGAGAGGAACAGTAATCTTAGAGAAGTCTCTAATGAATCTCCGATAATATCCCGCCAAACCCAGGAAGCTCCGAATATCAAATGGAGATCTCGACACTTCCCACTGCATCACCGCATCTATCTTGGCTGGGTCGACCAAGATACCATTCTAATTGACGAGGTGTCCCAAAAATTGAACCTCGCGCAACCAGAAGTTACACTTGGAGAACTTGGCGTAGAGCCTCTCCATCCTCAAAACCCCAAGAACCTCACGAAAATGCTCCTTATGTTGCTCTCTAGCCTTCAAATAAACCATAACTTCATGGTTGAAAACGATTACCGTTTGATCCAACATAGGCCTACACACCTGATTCATTGTGAGAACAAGGATCTGATGGCACAGGGACAAGGCTTGAAAACTCAAGCCTTGAGTTAATGCTTAAGATCAATGTCTGCTTCTGATTAAGTGTTCCAGTCAATTCTGGCAAGACGAGTCGATACTGAAGATGAGAATCAACAAAGTACTTCAAGTATTAAATATGGAGTAATGACTATAATCAAAGTAAAGACAATAAATGAACAAGTAGAATGTTTGAAAGAGTTTGATTTGAGAGAAAGGTGCAATTGAAGTAAATTCAAATATAACTATCTTTGGAGCAACAATCTGTCATTTATTCTTGTCATTAAACACTCCTTATATTGGAGAAAGGGTTACATCGTACAAACCAAATTACATACACAGGACCAGATAAAAGAGTTACTTCTGACACTCTGATTATCCATTTTGACAAAATAAACTAAGTCCTATGTACTGTTACATCAAGCAAAACGACAAGAGTAGTTAATGCAGACGGATTCATTATCTCGAAACATCTTCACTTCGAACATACTTCACTACTCCGGACACCAACTTCATCTCCAACCACAGACTGATCTCGTACCTCATCCCACTTCGGACCTAAGACTGACTTCGGAACTCCAAAGGTTAGAGATTGATAGAGGTTCACTTTCAGGTTCCAACAATCTCCACCTAAGTGAACTTAGCAATCCAGTTAGCTTAGTTCGAATCTTCCTTGATGAACACATAAGCCATGTTTGTAAAGTGAAAACTCATTAATCAATAAGTGTTTTTAAAGTGAAAACTCATAAGCCATGTTTGTTCAACCAGTTTGGGTGTGCAGAGTTTTTTAACAAGAAGGGAATAGATGCAATGTTTGTAAAGTGAAAACTCATTAATCAATAAGTGTTTTGAAGTGGGTGTTATACTTACATAGATAGAAACTATTCAAGCCAGCCTGTGTCGTCCTTTGGTCTGTGTGGTTGCTTTCCCTGTTGGTCTCATGCCTGCGGTACTGTTGACCATCGTCGACCTGACACTCTGTCACTTACAGGTTTCATGACTCTATTTTTGTATGAACACTCAAGTATAACAAAACATGGATTTATTGATAAAAGAGTTCCCAAAACGGGAGTACTCTTACAATATTTTACATCTTCTCCCTCCTAAGGGAGATTTTACTCACAAGACATTAAATTGAAAATTTAAAGGATAGAGAGTGTTTTTCTTGCACTCGTTGTTGTGATGCCTTCTAATGAAAACATAACTCTCAATTTATAGACACATTGAGAGGGTCTGATAATTGCCTATTACGTCAGGCATGACGTTTCTATCCACTCACGATTACATTATTGTGGACAGCTGGAAAAGCAAGCTGCTTTTAGATCGAAGATTTTGATGTCGAAGCATCTTTTTTAATAATGTAGGAGGCATTATTTTCTTGAGTGGCGGGGGCCATTTGACGCGTGAAGCATCTTTCTTTAAGATGATGAAGATTTGTCATCTTCAGAGGAGGGACCCTCCTTTGTCGTGGAATCACTGCTTTTGCAGTAGTTGCAATGATGGTCTTCAAACAACTGCTCCGCATGCCTACAGAAGATTTGTCTTGTAGTGGTAGATGCATCAAAGTTGTTGTTCATGAACTGTTCTCCGAATTTGGATGCTCGTTCAAGGTCTTCGTTACTGGTGTTGCCATAGCTCCAGCTGGTGATTATACAGTGTGAATTTGTATAATTAACTTTTTTCTTTGATCCTGAGATTATCTCAATGATCTTTTCAGAAATTCTTCTAAGGCCGTTGATACGATTTTGATGAAGGATTTCTTCGAACGGGAGATCTTTGTCTTCCGTGGGTCGAGATTGTTCGATGTCTTTTTTAGCTTTTGCTAAGCCAATTTCTAGATAGTGATAAGGGGCAAGTGTTGCTTCTTAAATCCATTCTGGAAGAGAGGAGATGACTCTGATGTAAATTGGATCATCTTTTGCTTTGAGAACTTTCTTTCGGAAATTCTTAATGGTTTCTATCATACTGGTTGGGAAGAATTTTAGTTCTTGCAAATTGCAGCTTGGATAGATGTTGTCTATTAATCCTGCCGAAAAGTCTTGTTAGATTAATCTTGGATCTGCTCCTTCAAGGAAGTTGTACAGACTTTTGGTTTTCTTATCTGTTGTGAAAAATCTTTCATGGATAAGATCTTCTGGGCATGCCGCTCTAGCTTTACTCCAGATTGTTCTGAAATCTTCAAAGGAGATTGCAGGGTTGTTGACTTCATATTCGACGTCTTTTGGGATATCAAATCTTTGGTCTCTGTGTTCTTCTTTGATCTTATGGACTTTCGGCTTTAGAAGAGGTTTTTTGGTTTGATTGGCTTCGTCATTGAAGGTGGCAAAACTAAGTCGTGCACTTGTTTCATTTTTGAACTTCTTGCATGTTACTTTATCGACCTTGCAGAAGGTCTCTGTAATTCCCCAGTCTGTATGTATACCGGTGTGTGGCCCTTTGTAGATTACATAGAATCTGTCAGCTTCTTTGTTAAGAGCCTTTTTGTAATCTGGTTTGAGCTCTTGCACAGATTTGTTAGTAGGTGACAAAATTGTCATTTTACTGATTCCTTTAGTACAAGGGTTGGAATTAACCAACAAGCTAGTTTTTCCATGTGGAAGAGGAGTAGATGTCTCCTTTATTATGCTTTTCAGCAAAGCATCAGCTTTCAACGGATTTGTTGTTTCTTTACCAGGTGCCGTTTGCACTGGAATAGCCTTTGTTTCTAAGCTTTCGCTTTCCGGTACATCGGTGACCGTTGTTACTTGTTCATACAAGTTGATTTTTTGTTCGATTGCTGATAGCTCTATGAGGAGCATTTGTTTCTTCATCCTCAAGGATTTGAGGTCTTCCATTTTGTAAATTTTTAAACTCTTTTTTATCCTCCCCCTCTCTTTTTTGTGAGTGAAGTTTGTAAGGAATATGTCGTGGGGTCATATCCTTTTATAGGGCTCGAGAGGAGCAAGTGAGATCATGGATGATGTAAGACATACCTGAAGTCACGGGTGAGACAGTCTGCCAGCACATTTTTATCTCCTGCAAGATATTCTACAGTAAAAGTATATCGAGAGAACCACTCTTGCCAACGTATTAGTCGGCCTAATTTGTTGTCTCCTTTCAATCTTAGTTCGGAGAAAATAAGTAAAATTCTTATTATCTATACGGACCAGGAATTTTACCGGTGTTAAATATACAGAGAATTTTGTAATAACTCTTTTTACAGCGAGTAATTCTTTTTCATTGCTATGATAGTTTTTCTCGGCTGCTTTGAAACTGCCAGAGGTGTACCTGCAAATTTGTTCTTCGTTTTTGGAATTTTTGGCTTTTAAAACTCCTCCCCAAAATTCATCAGAAGCATCAGTTTCAATAATTAAACTGTCTTCAATGTTCGGAAGATAAAGCTTTGGAAAATTGATTAAAATTTTCTTTATCTTTTTGATGTAATCTGTATCATTATTTGACCAATTCCAAATGACATCTTTTTTTAATTTTGCCTGTAAGGGCTTTCTCATGGCTGCAAGTTTTTCAATATATGTTTCAGTATAAGTTAAAACACCAAGAAATCTTTGCAGTTGTTTTTTATCTTCTAAAACATTTGGAAAATCATGTAAATGTTCAAGAATATGTTTTTGAGGACAATGGGTGCCTTCATTTATTTCTAAGCCCAAAAAATTGATTTTTGTTTTGAAAAGATGAGCTTTCTTTTGTGAAAGTATTATTCCGTATTTTAAAATGGTTCTGAGAACCTGGGTAACATGAACATAGTGTTCTTGTTCATTTTGCTGAAGACCATGATGTCATCAACATATACAGTACATAAACTTTCAAGACCTCGAAGGGCGTTCTGCATGTGTCTTTGAAAAATACTAGAAGCTTGTTTAAGCCCAAAGGGTAGTACCTTCCATTGAAAGAGCCCATCAGGACATGTAAAAGCAGTGAGTAGCTGCGATTCTTCATCAAGTAGGACTTGCCAGAAACCAGATTTGCAGTCGAAACTTGAATAAATATTTTTTCCTCGTAGTAGAGTTAAGAGCTCATGCATATTAGGGAGATTATGGGAATCTCCAATGGTTGCATCATTGATTGCCTTGTAGTTGACAACCATGCGTTTCTTTCCTCTTCTTTTCTCTGCATCTTTGTTAACAAGAAAAGCAGGGGACATATGAGGAGATTTTGATTCTTTGATTAATCTCATATCAAGTAATTCTTTGATTTGTTTGGAGAATTCTTCTCTATCTTGTGGAGAATAAACCATAGGCTTTTCTCTGACAATTGTTTTAGGATTAATGAGCTTGATTGAAGCCTTCATCCATCCTTTGGTTTTTTCTGGATCAATAGGATTTTCAGAACAAACTTTTTCAAGAAGATCTTCTATTTGTTTGAAAATGGTGGTTTGGACAAAAACAATCCTTTCTCCAATAATTCCTTCTTGGGTTCTATTGGTACCAGAAATTTGTTTTTCTTTAGAACCCTTTTCCTGGGTTTCAAGAAAACCTGGTTTTCCTTTGCTAAAAGCTTTAGTAACCTTTTTTACAATTACCATATCGTTGTTAAGATGAAAGGCAATTCTATCTATCCATTGTATAAATGGTCCATAGACTTGACAGAAGTTGTTTCCAATTACAACATCAATTCCTGAGTCTTGTTGATAAATAGTGGGAACGTTGAAATGTTCACCTGCAAGTTCGAGATTAATGTTTCTGCAAACTTTATTAATTTTTATAGTGTCACCATTTGCAATAGTAGCGATAATTTCTTTGGGAGCATTTTCCCATAGTTCGTCTGGAATGATGAACTTGCTTGCAAGACATAAGGATGCATCTGTGTCTACAAAGCAGTGTACCCTAAATTTCTTATATCCTTTGAAGTTAAGGAAAGCAAAAACATAAATAGAGTTTGGATTAGTGAGATTCATGAGAGAATCATTATTTTTCTGGAGGTTTGCACAAAAATGGTTAACCTCTCCCTTTTTAAAAGGTGGAGTCTGTTTAAGGCTAATCTGAGTCATCAGTAGTTGATTCATCTTCTTCTGAGGATGACGAGGAATTAGTATCAACATGTAAAATGAAAACATGTTGTATACCATCGTATTCTTCTTCAAGAGCTTCATAGCCTCCGTTATCAGCAGTTTGTAATACCTTGACCTTGTCAGGGTGGTTTTTCCTATTTGGACATTCATTAGCGTAGTGTTCTTCTTCGTTGCAGATCCAACACCTGCATTTTTTCTTTCCTTGTAGGCAGGCAGTATTCTTTTTAGGTGTTTCTTTCGAAGATTTTTTGAAGTATTTTCCTGGAGAAAATCTTCTCTTTTTCTTCTTTTAAAAAGATTTGTATTTCTTTTTGTTTTTATCTTTATACTTTTTCTTAGTATAAATTTTTCTTCCGATATCAAAATCTTTGAAATCAGACAGAATGTTACAACAATCTTTGCTTATTTTTTTAAGCTTTTGTTGTTTATATCTGTATTGACATATTCTGTCAATTTCTTCTTTTGCAATTTTTGTTGCATAAGAAAGACTGGTTTGTTGAATCTCTCCAATGGCTTCTTTTTTCCATCTTTCAGTACAGATTTCTCCAATGATTGGTATTTTCATAAGATAAGCAGATATCCATTGTGAATATTCACTTCTCTGTGGAATATCATAAAGATATGATTCATATCTACATGTGTATTTGTCAAGGAGACAAATATCATGTAATTGGAGTTTTGTCATTGAGACTCTTGCTATGTCGACTTTCTTATTTATAGTGAAATCTTTATTGGAGACATAATCTAGTCCTAAGAAGGTAGTGTAAATGACATTTATAAGACTATCAAAAAGGTCTAATCCATGTAATTCTTCATTCCAATTATTATTTCTAAGGAATTTTTGCACAATTCCATCAGTCTTGTGTTCTAAAAGTAGGAGAACATTTTTTGCATTTCCAAATTCATCTGGGTTTGTTTGTAAGATTAGTGAAATCTCAGTAACCCATTTTTCTATAACTCTTTCTCTGAGTTTTAAGTCTTGGATACAATCAATATTGAGGACATTGATCGTATTGGGTCCTTTACCACTATTTGGAATACCATTGTGGACAGACATTTTGAACTCATACTTCTTTTTCTTCTTTCTCTCGCCTCTGTTTGTGGCCATATATGAAGATTCTGCTTCCATTTCTTCGTTGCTATCTGAGTATTCGAACTTGACAGCGTTTATGTTAGGATTGTCTTCCTGTTCTGATTCGGTATCAGGTTCATTTACTTTGGCTACTTTAAAGTATTGATCAAAAAGTTGTGGCTCTTTTTGATATAGTTCTTCGCATTCTTCAGTTTCCAAGGATAAAAGCTGAATGAGTTTTTGGTCAGGTTTATCATAGTCTTCATACTGAAGATTAAAGAAATATTTCTCGAGTTGCTCGGAGACTTTTTCTTTCATTTTTTCTCCTTCCTAACGATATCAATCTTCTGGGAGTCTTTTGAGCTACCTAAGTATGGGTTTCCAATACTAGGATTGGGAGGTGAGTATTTCTTAAGACCTGAATATTTTCCAGGTTTGGTTTTTTGCTCTATAATGGAAATATTCTTGATGTGTTCAAGAATGTCTTTATTACAAGGGCAAGAATCAATCTTTTCAGATAACTCTTTAGTAATGTCTGCAATAATTTTTGCAGATGCTACTTCTAACTAGGTAGTGGTTACGTATTTATTGACTGTTAAGTCAAAGTTTATGATCAGCCCAACTATTTTTTCTTCAAGGAGGTTGATCGATCTATTGAGCTCGGCTAGTGAGGTCATCATATCAGTTGTTTTAACTGGTCTTGTATATTAGTGATCTTAAGGTTGGTTTCCTTAAGAGTGCCTTAAATATTTTCCTTTTTGGCAACTTCTTCCACAAACTGGTTATTTTTTAAAGAGTTTTCTAGGAGGATAGAATGTTTATCAATAGATTGAGTTAATTTAATAGTCAACCTATTTTGTTTTTCGATTGTTTCGAATAATTTTTCAAAATCTTTTTTAACAAAATCATTTTTAAGGGAAGCTAAATCACTTTTAAATTGATTAAAAGGTTTTTTATTTTTTGAAATATTTGTAGAAATATCTTTTGAAACACCAAGGTAATGGCTTATTTTTGAAGTCTTTAAAAGACATCTTGCAATGATCTGGTTGAGATTATTGCAATGATTTACAATTGTTTGAATACCAGCTTTTCCAGAAGTAGAGAAAACGTATTCTTTCTTTTCAGTATTGTCGTCAAGAGTTTTAATTTTGACTGTTTTACCTTTTTTAGAAAAATGAGGAAAATCTATTTTATTACTCATTTATAATCTCAGTGATTTGTTTGATATTCTGACGTAGACTATCAATTTTTAAAGACATGTTTCTTATTAAGTTACTATCTTTTCTTTCTGAGCTTTCTCCTACGTGGAGTGAATCTATAGAAATTCTTGGTCTAAGATTTTCTCCTAGAGCTTTTTTATTTCTAGCTATATTTAAAACCCAAGAGTTTTCTTGAGGATTTATGTCGTAGAATTGCTTATCTTTGACATGGCCAATTTCTGAGAAGACGTCGTCAAGTTCGATGTACTCGTCTTTCTTGTAGTCTATGCTATGGTGGCTATTGGTCAGGGCATATCCTATGAGATAGGTTATTGTAAATGGTTTATCACCTGGACTCATAAGGTCACTTCTCTCAAAGTGATGTATAAAAGATAAGGTTTTATCTATATTTGCAGATTTCAAATCCAGAGCAAACTTTGGATAGACTGAAAACATAAACTTTTGGTAAGCAAGGTTTCCTTTAGCAGCACCTAAGATGCAGTCCTGTCGGTCAGTGATCCTGTTGTCAATTAAGGCCATTTTTATGGGAGAATTTATTCCTGCTTGGAATTGAGATTTTATCAAAATTTTTACAGCTCCGATATGGACCATTCTTATTTTTGATCTAATCTCAACTGGAATACTTTTCAAGTTATCGTTTATTTGCTCCTTAGTCAAAAGGGGTAGAAAAACAGCTCCTATTGTGTCTTTTATGTCTACAGACATTTCTTTAGTACTAACAAAGTAGAAATTTTCATTTTTCCTCTTGAGAGGGTTTAAAATACTAAGTTTAGAAGGAACATTTTTAAAAATGTTTTCTTTCTTTATTTTTAAATCTGTTTTCTTAACTCGAGAGAGAAGGTCTTGTTTTATTAAAAGGTTTGCATGAAAGCCGTCTTCATCCTCAACATAAGTTAAGATTTGTTTTTCTTCTAAATTATTTTCTTCAGAATTGTTGAAAATTTCTTTATTCATTTTAAGAATTGTTAACAAGTTAAAATCCTTTTTCTGAGTTCTAAAACTGAGTTTAAAGCTCTATCAAGGTGTTCTTGATGTATTTTTTTGCCTATGAAGGAGATACTTACATATAGTAACCATGGTTGGTATATATTCGTGAGTATGTTTATTTTGTGCTTGTAGAATTCTGAAATTTATATGCACTAAATTTTTCTTATTATTGAAAATCATTTCTTTATGATGAGAAATTTCAACCTCGATATTATGAATTTCTTCAAAAACTTCACTGTAAAGTGTTTTATTATAATGTAATGCCATTTTTAACAAGGCAACTGACTTTCTTCAACCAGTTTGCGGATTTCTTATGAACTTTGTCTTCTTGTTAAAAAACTTCTTGTTAAAAAACTCCGCACACCCAAACTGGTTGAAGAAATTCACTGTAAAGTGTTTTATTATAATGTACAACCATTATCTGACTTTGATGTACCACTGCAACTGACTTATGAACTTTGTCTTCACATGCTCTGGTGCGTCGGACTTTGATGCTTTACTAACAAACTTTCGAAGGGCCTTGGTGGAAACCAGATGTTTGTTAAGGACTCTGAAGAAGTCCTTCTTGTTTGTTTTTCTTTGAAGATAGACAAATCCTAGCACTGGTTCATCAATGGGTCCCTCTGCCAATATCTCAGCTTCTAGCAGCTTGAAGTCAATTTTGGCCAAGTATTTTTCTGTTCCGAATAGATGGGCCAATTTAAAGTCACACCAACAAAATTCGGCAACGTAATCTTTCAGGAAGCTCAAAGCAACGTGGTAAGCTCCCATGCTAAGATCATCATCTTGATGGCTTCTGAAGTGAGCAATGATTGTCAGAATATCATTTGGGTTGATTACAGGGAAGTCGGCGTCAGTGATGGTTTTCTGAGTTGGTTTGTTCCAGAAGATGTGGTATCAGAACATCACACAATTGAGTTTGAATTTGGTCAAGATTTTCCTTCCGAATCTGGAAATTTTAGTGATCCTTTTCCGAGACCTGACTTCTTTTTGAGGACGCGCGTTATTGGAATAGAAGGTCTTCAATCTTTCACGTTTAGTTCGGATGATCATTTATGGATCATCTTCCGGGTGGAGAGGAACGAACTTTGTGTAGAACTTGATGTAAGGAGAGAGAGGCAAATCGAACTGGTCCGAGTCTTGGTTGGGAAGATCATAGTACATGAAAGGCACTATATCTACATCTTGCAAGATTCTATCTCTGCAAAGAGGAGAGATCCCTAGCATCGGATGAGGATTATCATCTTTGAAGGATTGGATACGGATGCTTTCCTCAAGTGATCGATTGATCTCTTCTTGGGACCAACCACTTCTTTCTTTCAAGGGAGGTGCGGAGTAGGAAAAGTATGAAATGGGCTTCTTTCCCTTGTCTTACTTTTTTTTGGAGGGTGGAGAGGATGTGTTTCATGTTCTCGTAAACGATGAATTTCGGAGGAGAGGTAGGCAGGGGCTCTTCCGGAATATCATCCAGCTTCCAGAGTGGAGAGCCTTCATCGATAGAAGCGATCTTTGGAGAAGGAATCAGAGGCAACATTGATGTTGTGGCCCGAAAGGCGTCAACCGCTAGTTGGGTTTTAGCCTTAGCCATTTATTGGCTTCTATGAAGTACATCGGCCAGAGTTGATGGCCATGATACTGCTGACCAAATCCTTTGCTCTTCCTCGAAGAGCACCTTGGCTAGAAACTTTTTCAGGGCTGGACGCCCTATAATGGCATTCGTAATGTACATGTCTTCATCATCATGATCATCGTCGTCATCATCATCACCACCTAGAGAACTTGAAAGAATTTGTAAGGAATCATCATAGTTTTCATCTCAGAGTCTGAACTCCGAGACAGGTTTCTAGGGTTGATTTCTCCAGCTAGGTCCTTCTCTCCCTCTTGCAACGGACGATCCTGTAACCAGTGCAAGCAATGTAGAAGCTTTAAGTTCCGAGTAGCGTTCGAACACCTTTTGAAAACTCTGATTCATCTGAAGAGTCATAACGTCATAAGCGTCAGCTGTGGGAGCCTGAGCTTTGATATGATCGAAGAGGGATGAAATAATGGCAAGTATCTCGTCAAATTTTTGGTTCAGAACATCCACGATGTTCCAGCAATCCCTGAGAAGCTTTAGAAGAACTTGTTGGATGATCAGGTTCATCTCATCTTTCTTGCAGATCTCCTTCTCTAACCTCTGAATCTGTTTCTCATGAAGAACATGAGTTTGTTTAATGAGGTCGTTTGTAGCACTGACCAAATCATCATGAGCGTTGAGCATCTTGGTGATTGTGTCGAGATAGTGATCGACAGAGGCATCATATTTGTGTTCCACTTCCTTGATAGTGTGCTTGAGGCATAGGGAGTTAAGCTGATCAAACTGAGCTTCTCTTTAAGCAACAGTGGGTTCAGACTTGTTGGTTTCAGACATGGATTTGAGGATTACATCAACCTTAGAATCCAGTCCGGAAACCTTTTCATCAATCTTTGTATTTAGTCCGGCCACAGAGGTTTCTATGGCATTAACCTTCTTCATAGTGTCAGAGACATTGTCTCGGAGTTCCAGGAGGGCAAAAGGATCAACGTAATTGCCAGCGGATGATCCTGTGTCCGAAGTGGAAGTTCGGGACTTGTCTTTGTCATCTTCTTGGGTATCCGGAGGTATGAAGGGGCTAGCCTGAGTTGCATTGGTTGTCTTATCTTCCTGGTGAGGAGTAGATTCTGTTTCGGCTCTGAAATGCGTGTAAGCTTGATCATCAATGTTGATTTCCTCATCAACCAGCTCAGAAGAGGAGGATGAAAGTCCAAAATCAAAATCCGGCCTTGACGAGGATAGCTTTTATAGGAAGGGAAACAAAGAGAACAACTGAGGAGCAACAATGGAAGCACCTTCATCATCGAACATGACTTCATCTGAATGTTCTTCATTTGGATCGGAGTGCAGACCATCATGATGTTGAGTTGTGAAGGGATTATCAGAGATGATGTTGTCTTGTGTCTCTCCGCAAGCAAACTTGAGATCTGTTACGTCATCAGTTGGAGCAACAAAGGGCAAGTTACTTTGAATGGCCCTGTTTCTCATAGAGAGGAGAGTTGTTTTGACTTGAGACCTAGTGGGTTCTGGATGTATCGTATGATCCCTGTCAATATAATCTTCCCACAAAGGATCATTACCAGGTATCAGATCAGTTGAGGCATCTAAGGTTGGGGGGGACTACTCCAGCCTTGGAATGCTTGTGGTCTGAAACAGTGATCTCGGACCGTACGTGTGTAGAAAGAATTGGGTTTTCCAAAGAGACTCGTGGGTTTGTTCCAGGGGCAAGGAACTTTGTTCAACACCAGCAACACCTTGTTGGGAAGGTGAGGGTGGATTATGTGTAGACTCCCCGTGTGTATTTGCTTGTGTTTTTGAAACTCTGAAGGGTACTTCGTAAGAGTGGGTAGGTGGGGTAAGAGGATGGCCAGAGTCAGTCGAAATGTCTTTGGCTCCTACCTGTTGAGAGGAGTAACTGACTTTGGTTCTCTTTTTGGATTTGGACTTTGAGGGAGAGGATTTCCTCTTGGCAGATTTCTTCTTCTTACCACCTGAAGGAATAGGCTTGGCCACTTCCAAAGTGGGATCAATAGGGAACGGGGTAGATTGTGTAGGGCTATACACAATCGAGGTCTCCTTGTGATGTTTCAAATGAATTGATCCGGAAGGTTAGACGACCAACATATGTTCTGGCAAACGTCTAATTGGTCCGGAGGAAGTTTGGTCCGGAATATGATAATGTCCAACAGTTTTGAAAGAAACAAATACCTCTCTCGGAATCATATCCACAAGAATTGGTTCGGACATCTCACGGTATAGTTGTTGAATCGTTAGGGACCAAAATCTAGGGCTGGAAATCTCATTGGGCTTCCGTTTGATGACAAACTTCCGAAAATCTTGCCACAACACTTCAGGAAGATCTACAGCGTTGCTCTTATGGAGAAGATGTTGTAAACCACCTATAACCAATCTTTTCTTAGAGTGTCTGTACCTACATGTTTTCCAGACATACCCCTGGCAATGAAATGCATCAGGACTGTCCAAAGGCATGTGACAACTAATTTCTTGACCTTCTTCTCTTTGTATTCTTGGCCATAACCGATGTGAGTGAGAAACAGTTGGAATTATTTTGCTATGGGTTCTTGTACCTTAAAGTCTGAAGGGTTTTCTTCTATTCCAATCGCCTTGAGAAACGTGGATTTATGGACAGGTACAATGCGGTCACCGATTATCTTCATCTCAAGAATGTTGTTTTCAATCTTGATCCATTCAAACAGTGTGTGAAGAAGACGAAGAGGGATTGGTGAGTCTGGTATCTTGGTAAGTGGAAGAACGATGGGATGATGAGCAACGAACTCAATCATGAATCTGATGGAATCGTCGAAATCCATGGGGTCTAGGGAAACAGTTGCGTCGTATCTCTAATAAAGGGTTCGTTGGACTGAGATAACGATGATCCTTTGGATGATTTCTTTTTGGCAGTAGTTTTGGGAACTTTGGGAGCAGTTTGAGTGACTTCAGGAGCGGTTTGGAAAACTTTGGAAGGAGATTGGGAAGACGCCATTGTTGCAGGAGATGAAGGTTTGAAGAACACAGTTGCAGAGAGAAAGAAGAAGGGTTTAAGCTCTTTTGTGCGCGTAAAGGTTAAAAGGGGGTTTGAGGAGTGTTTTTATAGGTTAATAAAACGGGTCGGGTTGGAGGCGTA